TTAAAGTACCAGCTAATTTGCTCTCTGGGCACAAGAATACAAATAACAGTGCTAATTTTGACTGTATCCAGAATAGTCCTCACCTTATCTCCCCCAGCTGAGAGAGAAGGCTTAAATAAGCCCTGCAATGACCTCCACAAGAAATAATTATTAAATAAAGAATAATTAAGTAACTTGGCCTCCTCTGGGGGTGTGTTTCCATCTCCGCATCGTCCAGGGCTCTGCCCATGGTCATATTTTGAGCGGAAAATCCTGTTGCAGCTGTGGGTCGTGTTATGGAGCAAATTGAGTTTATGGTAAGACCTGGCCATGGTGTGGTTTTGCTGGGATATGGCCCCATGTGCCCCTTCCCAATGCTACGAGCAGGAGAAAGGTGCTGCAGAGGGTAACCCAAAACCTTTGTAACCCAAAGCGGGTTGCAAAGAGGGACGTGGGACACCCAGGCAAATGCTGATTTTTGGAAGGGGCCATTGCTTGGCCTCTTCTTTCCAAAGGCAGGCCTGGTCTGCAGCGTCGGTGCATGAGGGGCACCACCGCTGTGGCTGGAGGTGGCCCTCAAGCTGGTCCCCCATACCAGCCACTCCTGAGGATGTCTCAGCACATAGCGGTGAAGGTAAAATCCCCCAACTTCCCTCCCTGGTGTTGCATCGGTCCCTGGACCGCTGGGGACCATCACTGCTGGGGCTATGCATGTCTTTCAGAGGCATGATTCAGAAAACAGGTGTTACCCCCCCAAAAAAACCAAGGTCCCTGTACCCCATGGCAAGTGTTCAGCTGCCCCACGGGATGTGCATGCCACACTCCCTGCAGCTGCGATCAGCACAGGGCTGCTGACGCCCTTCGGTACCCCCAGCATCGCGGGTTCACGTGTTTGCTTTGGCATTGGCTAAACCACTGCCAAGGTATTTCCAGGGAGATGTGTTGCCACAGCAAGCGGGGATGGAAATGCCGCTTCTGTGGGGTGAGTACCACCAAAAACATCTGTTTGTGCCGGGACGTCGCAGCACAGGAAGGGCACGGAGCGGAGCCAGCCCTGCTGGGAAGGAGCGAAGAGAGGTCGAGGACAAGTTAAAATTGGAAAGAAAACTGAACATGCCGTTTCGTAGGGCCTTGCTTGCTCTCATCTGCCAATTTTTTTCCACACCCTCCCCCCCCTTCCTATGGCCAGCGGGGCGGTCTGAGCATCTCCTCCGGCTGATGGGGGCAAGGGGGTCTGTGGTGGCCAACATTTCTAGGAAGAACCACCAACTTCCAGGGGCTCTTCCTGGCGACCTCAGCCACCGCAGGTCCCCTTTTCACCCACCGTCATATTTTAAATCTACTTGCCACTGTGTTATTCCTCCCCATTCTCGGATTTGCAGCGTGCTGCACATTTTTGTGCTGAAATTCAGAGCTCCGTGCTGGAAGCTGCCAAGCGTGAGTCTGGATTGTGTAATGAGCTCCATCTATTATTTTTTTTTTCCCCCCAAGAAGTTTTAGGAGAAGCAATGCCTGAGAGCGTGGAAAGGCCTGGTAGCTTTAATGCCTACCACGGCTTTGCTTTCCTGGGTGCAGGTGGGCTCGAGACCTGTGCAGAGACTTTCAGACCCCCGTTCTTTATGCCCCAGCAGCTCCTCCGTCCCATGGGTCCATGTCCCAGCTCAAAGCAAGGATGCGCTCACGTTTCCAAATGTCTCCCTTAAAAATACCATTTTTTGCATTTCTTCTCTCAACAGCCGTGAGCAGAGGCTGAGTTTGTTTAACAGTACCATGGACTGAGTCCTGGGCTAAACCCGTGGCAGCAGTGCCAGGGATGCCCTCGGTGTCTGACCCAGCTGGAGCTGAAGGAGATGCTGGATGAGGCCAAGCCCAGTGCTGGGGCCCGGGCAATGCTGGCTGACCCAGGAGAGCATTTGGGCAATCTGGTCCTGGGGCTTTTCAACGCCGGGCACTAACCCGGGGGCTTTAGTGCCTCATTTGCTGTTGGTACTTCCATTTTCACCTCCCGTGGGCAGTGGAGCTAGATGGGCTCGTTTTTCTTCTCTCTACCTGGTTTTGCCCTCTGTATCCTCGCGTTGTCCTGCTCTCACCCTGCTTGGTCCCACTTTTGCATGCTGCTGAGGTCAAGCCCAGCTCAGCGCTTTCTGCGCCCTGGGCAAACCCAGCCTTGGTGCCTAGGACCTGCTGAAGCTGAGCTCAAGTTGCCGCCGCTCCTCCAGCAGCATCCGTGGTCTTTGCAACTTGTCAGCCCAGGCAGAGCACCCCCGGGGCCTCCCGCCTGCTCTGCTTGAAAGCAGCCGAGATATGCAAAAGTTGTTCAGAGGAAATGACTGTGAGTGTATCGACAGCATTGTAGTTTGTGTCTGCAGGAACCCAAGATAAAAACATCCCCTAGGTTACAGCTGTTGCGCAAGCATCTGTGCAGCAGGTTGTGGGCACCCCTCTGGGCTGCACCTTACACAGTATACTTATAAAACCCTCTTTCCACTAATTCTTTTTTTTATTTTTATTTTTCATTTAGGCTTTACAATAATATATTTATTATCACAGCAGATTATTGCAAACAGAAAGCAAGCCCTGACCTCGCATCAGGACAGCCCAGCACCTGAGCTGCAGCAGAAAGCACCACAGCCCCATGAACTCAGCACCTCTCGGCGGGCGACCGCCCTGTCTGGGCAGGTAATTTGACAATTTAACAGCCCAAGCAGAGCCCTTCCCCGCAATAACCACCTGGCAGAGGTGGGGAGGTGTGTTAGCAGCTCATGCGGGTTATCACCGGGAGAAGCATCCCTGCAAACAGGGGTGTGTGGGATGTGGACATGCCAGCCAGCTGGCACTGCTCACACACCCACGTCACTGTTGTGGGACCAGGTAGCTTAGCAATGCCATCCCAAACCTATTAACTTCCCTGTTATAAAGTAATTTAAAGAGCGGCAAACCCAGGGAGGGTGCAGGAGCAGGAGAGGTGTGAGTGACTGTGGCGTGCGAGCCCACAAAGGTTTAGGCTATGATTTTTTTCAAACATTTAGATGTCATGGCCAAGAGGGTGCCCATGCTGGGTGCTGATAGCAGCCTAGGAGAAGACCCAGGCCCCATGAGTGCTCTCATGCCAGGGTCCCCTGCTCCCTGCATCGCCCCAGCTTCATCCACAGGGTCCGGCCCTGCTCACCAGCTGCAATGTGGCTCCAAGAGAAACTAAAATGGGAGATGCATATTATCTCCCAATGGAAAGTATTTTAGCTAAATCCATGCTATAACCATTTTATTGACTCCAAGTACCAGAGAGAAGGTTAGAAGTGACTCTTTTACAAGTCATTTTGCTGTTAAATTTAGCTGTCCTATTTTCATTATCCCCATGGCTTTGGCAAGGGTGAGCAGCCTTCCCTAAAAGGCCTCGTTTCATACAGTAAGTTATTTGCTTCTCTCCTGACAGATATCTAAGCTTATAAGGTTTGTCTGCGCCGCTCAATAGCAGTATCAGCCTTCAATCTCATATGATTAGCATCAGCATTTTGTATTTGCTTTTGGCTCCCTGTCTGCCAGCTTCCCATGTTGCTGAGGACTGGGGCGTTGGGATGGTGTCACGTCACTTGTAACGTGGGATCATCTGATTTTCATGCCCAAGGTTCATGGTACGCCCGCAAGATTTGGATAAATGGTTCATCTACTTTTTCCCCCATGCTCCCTATTGCCCAGCAAAGATAATCGATTTGTTCCACTCGTTTCACGGTTGTCAGGTCTGTAAAATATTGAGTCGATAGGTCAACGTGACGCCAAGCGATGGGCAATTGAAGATGAAAGGTGATGATGTTAGAAATGTTCTGGAAAGGAAAGATTTATCCCAGCAGGTTAAACTTTTCCGTATTTCGAAAAACATTTCCCCATGCAGAGAGGGACCTTGTTGCAGCCTCGGTGGCCACAGGCAGCCAGCACCTCCTTTAAGGTTATGGGATGGATGAACTGGGGTTCATGGGATGGAACCTGTCCTCGTGGGGAGTGCTGAAGCTGTTGGGCTCTGGGCTTTTCGGGGGAAACAGAAACAACCCTCCCCAGCCCCAGTGCTCCCCAGCAAAGAGCTCACCGCTGTGGGGCTGTGCCCTTGAGGCTGTCTGGTGGGATGCAGTGTGGGTACAGGGTCCCCCGTCCACCACCTCTGCACTTTCCCCAGCAATGAGCCAACCCCCCCCACCAAAGCTTCCCACTGCAACAATGTCGGGTCCCAAATTTTAGTCTGGCATGTACAAATCCAGCCCCTTCTCAGTGATATTCACTTAAAGCGGTGTCTGCACCACCCTGCCGAGCATCCTTTGCTGTGACCCAGGCTCACTCATGGCTGTGCCTTTCAGGAAATGCTGGAAATGCTGAAAATGCTTCAAAATGCACCCAGCCCAGCCCTGTGCAAGTGCTGGGAACCAGCCAAGCCCCCGCTGGGCGGCCTCACCGCAGGAGGAGGCCAAGCCAGGCGCCCGGCTGCCCTGCAGGTCACCTCCAAATTGCTGGGCTGGGGTTTCTGTGCCCCCACCCTCCCCTTTCCCAAACTCTTTCCTGGGGCAGCCTTTTGGGGACAGAGCAGGACATGGGTTAGGGACAAGGATGGGACACCCACAGCCTGAGGTGGCTGCTGGGACAGGAAAGATGATACCCCAACCCCAGTTCCTCACATCCTCTCCCAAGACCTCCACCGTCTCCTCCATCCCGACGTTGCCTGCTCGCCCTGAGCCCTGCCTGCAGCCCTTCTGTCCCCAGGGAGGGCCCCTGCCCGGATGAGGGCACATCCCCCGCGGGCGGGCAGCTCTGTCCCAGTGGCACACGGGCTCGGCAGCAGGGTGGCCCTGCACCCTCCCGCACCCCGTCCCACCCCCGGACCATGTAGGGCACCGGCTGCTCCCAGCCCAGAGCTTATAGGAAGAGGAAAACCCGTCCCTGTGCAGAGGAGGAAACCCGTCAGCCCAGATGTACACAGAGCAACGCCGATAGCATTTTTATTATTTTTTTTCTTTTTTTTCCTCCTCTCTGCAAACAGAGGAGTTGCACGAGCGGCGGCAGGCACGGCCCGACCCACGTCACGGCGAGCAGCGGGGCCAACGGAAGGCTGCAGCACAGCCCTGGCGCAGCCATGGGGCAGAAGTGCATGGAGAAGGTGTCCTCCTTCCTCTTCGAATATGACACCCCCAGGATGGTGCTGGTGAGGAACAAGAAGGTGGGACTGACCTTCCGGCTGATCCAGCTCATCGTCCTGGCGTACATCATCGGGTAAGGCTCCCTGGCGCCTGCTTTCCCCCAAATTAATGCTTTGCCACCGGGTTAAAAAGCAATGGAGACGAAGGGGCTCATATATCCCCTATATTCTGATGCGGCGGGAGTTTATTGCTGATGGCATCGCATCCCCCCAGCCATGGCCACTCCCGTGCTGCTCAGTGTCCCACCATGGGTCTTCCAGACGGCTGCCTGGTGCCCACGTCCTCTCCAGAAGCGGCTGTGTGTGCAGGCTGGAGGCTCAGCCCTGCCCAGCCCTGCTCCGCGCACCAGGGCCCCGTCTCCTCGCTGAGCCACATCCAAATCCCACTTGAGATGCTGGACGGTGGCCTGAGAATCTGTTGTTATTTTTATTTTCATTTATACTAAGAGGCAACTGGGGCCAGCACGATGATTTGTGAGACCCAAGCCGCTTGAGGCAGGACCATAAATCTCCCCATCCACCACCCTGCTGGGAAGGCAGAGCCAGCCCAGTGGCTGGGGCCAGGACGGAGCCTCACTCCAAATCCCTGGTTTGCTTTGCTTGTAGGAGGCAGCCCTGAGAGCAGCCGCCGTGCAAGAGCAACTGCTTTAAAAAGGCAGCGAGTGGAGCAGGCGGGCTCAGAGCCCTGCAAGGATGTGTGTCCTCAGGTGCCCTGGGGCTGCTGCTCCTGCCACAGCAATTCGGTCCCTGTCCCCTTGGTGTGGGACGAAGTGCTGTGCTATGGGATGCAAGGGGTGATAAAAATCTTTGCTGTGCCCCCATGGTTGCTGTGGGCTCAGCCCTCGAGACAGAGACCAGCACCCCTTCCATTGGAAAGGGCCCCACAGCATGAGGTTTGCAGGGCAAGGGGTTATCCAGCCATGAATTGGAAAAAATGGGTATTTTTCGGGTGCAGGGTGCCTAGTGCAGCCCCAAAGGAGAGGCAGTAGCTCCCAGGGCTCAGTGCAAGGGAGCAGCTGAGGGGAGCAGTGGTTTTTAGCACAGATCCTCTGGAAAGGGGGAAAAGCTTCCCAGTGGGTCATCGTGGGACCCCTGCATCGCTCCCACCCTGCTCACCAGTGCTTTGGCTCACAAGGGTAATCCTCATCCCAGACTGCTGCCAAGCCATGGTCTCAAGGATGCTCCGCTGCAAAGGGTTTTGCACTGGCCCAGACTGGTGTTACTGGGAGCAGTGCTGGCTCTCCTAAGGGCTGAGCCCAGGAAACCCCCAGGCTCCAGCAAACCCAGCCAGGGGCAGCTGCTCCTGCACATGGGGAACTGGCAGAGGTGGTTGCCCAGAGCGGGACTTCCTAAGGAAACGTGGCTTAAGCAACTCAGCTCAAACAGGACAGGCAGCCAGGAGGGAGCAAAAAGAGAACCAGCTTGCGGGGGACAGCCAGGGGCAGAGGGGAGGAGGTTGGCATGAAGTTGCTGTAATTCCTACATTTTTGCTGTCTCGGTGGGGTCAGGCTCCGTTAGCAAGAGGCTGCCTGTGAGTGCAGCTACCCATAGCCCCTGTGGCCATTGGCATCCCCTTGCTGCCTGCAGCACTGCCTCCAGTTCCCTGCCTGCACTAAGCCACGGTGCCTGAGATTTTCTCTTCTTTGAAAGCAAGTTTCGCAGGCAGATATTTATTTATTTACTATTACCCCAGCTTTGGTTCCCTTGGCAGCAGGCGTGGGATGCTCATGGGGATGCATGCTGATCCATGGCTGTGCTGGAGGGATGTGTGTCAGTGCAGAGGAGGGACATGGGCCTGACCCCACTGAGAGACCCGGCGTTACCCTTGGGAAGCAGCTCTTCTTTCTGCTGATATGCTGAGATAAGGCAATATCGCTGCTGGCCAGGCGATGCCATGCGCTCCCCGGCTGGACTTCGCTTTCTGGCTTTTGTTTCCTGAAAACCTCGCACGCGAGGAGGCTGCGGGCTGATCTGCAGGATGGGGCTGGCGAGGGAAGAGGCGCTGGTGACTCTGCCACATGGGGGAGTGACACCAGGGGACTTTTACCACCTGGGCAGGGCTTGATGCGGCATTTACAGCATGATGGGGACATGACACCTTGTTTGCTGTGACCACGGCTCAGCAGCAGGGTGAGGGCCTCATCCTGCCCTGCCATGGGGAGGTTTGTGTCATGGCAGAGTGCCCAGCCCTGTGTGCCTGCAGTCACCTCTGCCAGGGAGGGATGAGGTGGCAGCCACAGAGGCTGTGCTGGAGGCAGATTTAGGGAAATGCTCCACCACGGTGCTGCCCAGCTCACAGCCTCCTGCAGCCCTGAGGGCATCAGGGAAGATGCCCAGTGTAACCAGTGTAACCCAGTATGGCCCTCTGCCTGGAGGAGGAGGTTGGAGCTGGGGGTCCCAGCTGGGTGGCAGCAGTGCTGAATTTCTGCTCTCATCCCCAGGTACTGGGGCCGATGCTGTCCCTGAGGTCCCCTCGCCCCCTGTACTGGGATGCCAATAAGGCTGCAAGCCAAAAAGCATCATCCCCAAGAGGTCCCCATAAAGTCCAGCACCCGTAGGGCAGACCTCCAGGCAGCACCCAGGGTTCCCCCATTTTCCCCCATGCCCATGAGGCAGGTGCCCGAGGACGGGCTGACATGCCAGGCTGGCGTTGCAGGCTGTCCCACAGGCAGTGCGCTGCCTCTGTCATGGCCAACGGGACCAGCGCTATGGCAGCGGGGACAAAAACCAGATCGCTCCTTTTTTAGTGCTGGGAATGCTCTGTGCCGCCAGAAGCGTTACCCGAAATGGTTGCTCGCCCGTGTTTATAGTCTCCCTCAGTCAGAGTTAATCCAGTGGCAGCTTGTTTATGCCATAGGTTAAATAGTGTCAGGAGCCGGACCTAATGGCTGCATGATGGGCTGGGAAACGTAGGGAGAGCCCCATGCCGGCCACAGCAGTGTCCCCAGCCCTGCACCCAGGGCCACAGCTCCACAATTCCCTGTGCTGGACGGGGAACGGTGGCCCTGGATGGGAGCCATATCCAGACTTACCCCTGCCTTGGCCCTGGAGGTAATGAGTTTTGGAGAGTGCCCATGAAGTGGATCAGGAGGGTCTGGGTGGGTCACCAAGCCATAAACTCACCATAGGCTTTAATTCCAAATGGTCTGTGGCCACCCTGCTCCACCTGCCTTCACATATCCTCAACCACAAAATGTGTCCCAGTCCCCAAAATAAATCATCCCACCGTGGAAGTCGGGTCCCACAGCTACCACATGCCTCAGGCAAAGGGTGGAGGAGCTCAGCAATGTGTTCCTCATCCAGATGGAGGAAATTTGGCAAATAATCCCCCAGGTGAGACTTAGTAGAAAAAGCCCCAGTCCACAGTGATGTGCTGGGACTTGGGGCTCCTGCGGATGAGCACTGGTGGCCATGCTCATCCCACCACCTTTCCCCATCCAGGTGGGTCTTCCTCTATGAGAAGGGCTACCAGTCTCAGGACAGCATCGTCAGCTCGGTCTCGGTGAAGCTGAAAGGCCTGATGCTGACCAATGAGAGCGTCATGGGCCCTCACATCTGGGATGTGGTGGATTATGTTTTCCCACCCCAGGTAAGGAGGCAGGGTGGGTCTTGCTTATGTCTCGACCACTGCTTTTACCCACGTGCTGGGGTGCAGACGGGCTTCTCGGTGTAGGCTTTCCATGGGGCTAACCGTGACATGGTGTCCCTGTGGTGGAAAGCAGGTTGCTCCTGCCACAAACCTCTGCCCACATATCACCCCTGGGGAGCATTCAGTGCTTGGGACCCACCGTGGTTGATGGGGCAAGTTGAGGCTGCCTCCAAAAGGATCAAGCCTCCTCTGGTGCCTCCAGTCGAGCATCTCAGGCAGCAAGGGGGGTCCTCCACTGTCCCCAGGGCTGGTGGCACTGCAGCTCCCCAGGGCCACCACCAGCTTCCCGAGCCGTGGCGGAGTTAGGAAGAAAGGTGCCATCTGCCTGGACATGGCCTGGTGGTTTGGGTGCCCTACCCCAGGGAGAGGCTCCATCAGAAAATGCCGTGCCAGCTGTGAGCTCGTTGGCTGTGTCTCTGCAGGGGGACAGCTCGTTTGTGGTGATGACCAACTTCATTGTCACCCCTGGACAGAAACAAGGAACCTGCCCAGAGGTAAATATGCTGGCTTCCTTCAGCGGTCTCAGCTTCTGTAATTTAGGGGGGTTGTGTGGTGGCACTGGGGAAGGAGTTTTCCTGACATTGAGAGGTTTGGTGAAAGCCTGAGTCTGGCCCCATATTATCCTCCCTGACTTGCAATTGCTATGTGAAGGCTTTTATTCTGCTGAAAACTAGCCAGCATCCCTTTAAGTTGTCTTCCCTTCGAGATGATCAAGCAGAGCAGGCTCAAGGCTTGAATAAAAGCATCTGCCTGGAGTTTAGAAAAGAAATTCCTCCTTTTTCCTGTTTAATCTGGACATCCTTGGTTGGGAAGCGGTGTACAGACAAGGCTCTGGCTGCAGCCAAGCAGCATTTGCCCTAGGGAAAATGCTGTGTGGTGAGGCAGGAGGGAGAGAGGGACCGAAACCGCGGCATGTGATGCTGAGAGGTGGCTGCCTGCTTTTTCCAAACAGCTGCCGGACGCCGGGCTCTGCTCGCGGGACAGCGACTGCAGCAAAGGGAAATACAGCCGCCAGGGACAAGGTACGGCACGGGGCCCCGAGGCTCCGGCACCGCCATTTCTGGTGAGACACGCTGAGCACAGCGTGCTCCGGTGAAACTGCAGGGCTGGGGTGTCTGGCAGGGGGACCTGCTTTGGACCACCAGCTGACGGGGTTTGGGAAAAGCCTCTGACATCCCAGGTGAGGGTCCCACCTGGGCTGGTCCTGCTTTCCTCTACCAAAAGAGATATGAGCTGTAAAAACTTCTCCCAACAAAAGGTTAATCAATACTAAAACATTTCCCACAGACTTCTATCTTTCTAACAGCTAGGCATTTTCTGAGATGTATTTTAGCAAGAAAAATGCTCAGTTACTCCCCTGTACAATAGCGCAAGAGAAACCACTGCCCTGAGCTGAGAGGCCACAATTAATTACCCTTTTTATAAAGGGGCACCAAAGCCCTGAGTATTTCGTGCCTTGGATATCTGTGGCAGGGCTGAAGCTCCAACTAGATCCCATCCATCCCAGTGTAAGGCTGGGATTTCCCAGTATACAGGGGTGTGAGCAGCCATCTCAATTCCCCACAGGGCTCATGACGGGCAAGTGCGTGCATTTCAACAGCTCTGTGAAGACCTGCGAGATCTTTGGCTGGTGCCCCGTTGAAGTTGATGACCATGTTCCCAAGTAAGCAACGATGTCATTGCCCCCCTTTCCACCCTGGTCCCACCCCAGCTGCACCAGCAACACTCGGTGTATGGCAGAGCAAGCCGGGGCTCTGCAGGTTGCTGCCAGGACAGCCTGGGTCGATGCAGACTCTGTGGCTGGTGGGGGTTGCCTGGTGTCCCCAGGGGGATTGTGCCTCTCCTGGCACGGTTTGCTCCCCGCCTCGCTGGTGGCTCCCCCCATCTCTGCTGGGTGCTTTGTGCATGGACCAGCAGCCCCCATCTATCCTGTTTGCCTTCAGAATAAAGTTGTGCTCTGCCCATGAGATGTTCTCCACCTCCAGCCTCTATGGGCCACTGTGAAGCACCTCCTGGAAGATGCAAAGTCCTGTTCCTCCTTGACTCTCTTTGCAGGGGGGCTGCAGGGACACCCATGGGTCTCCCAAAGAGCCCAGGAAAGCACCCAGGGCCCTTGAGCTCTCTTTCAATGTGCTTTTGGGGTTTCTTAACTGAAATCCCAGTACCTAACTCCATCTCTGTCCCCTAACAAGCACTTCCCTCCTTCCTTGGGATTTTTCTGAACCTTGTTGGTATTCTTCACTTAGAAAGGGCAGGGATGAGATCACCAGTTTTTCTGGGTCCTGCTTGTGCCAGTTTGGATGAATCTCTAGCAAATGGGGCTTTCTCCAGCGGCCAGAGAGTCGAGTGATGGACACGTGCCAACGCTTGTGTTTTTCAGCCCTGCCCTGTTGTCAGAAGCAGAGAAGTTCACCTTGTTCATCAAGAACAGCATCACCTTCCCCAGGTTCAAGGTGTCCAGGTAAGTGGAGGTTTGGGGGAACAGCTTCTACTCAGTTCACCCAGCCGTGTCCCTAAGGGGAAACCATGGGTGTAGCTGGATGCTTGATATGGAGGATGCTGTCCCTCACCAGCAAGTCCAGGTCTACTCTAACTGTTGCACTGATCACCAGATTAGCTGATAGGAACTGAGACATTTCCCTCCCAAATCTGTCCACCTCAGCTGATAGCTGCAGTTACAGGAAAGAACGTTTCTGGAATTAATGTCCCCTGAGTTACCCTCATATGATGCATATTAAATTACAGTTTCTCTGATTCTTCATTTTTCTTCTCCCTTTTCCTCCTCAAAGATAACAGTAAAATACTAACTGCCTCAGTGGGGTGCGAGCAGCCAGGATGAGCTTGCTGCCCAAAAGTGAGCACAGGCCCCTCTTACCGTCATGTTTCCCAGTTGCTTCTGCAGCGGGTTGTAGGGTCGGCCCCTTCCAGGCAGCGCTGGAAACGGTGCCGCTGGCCAAAGGTGCACATGTAAGAGGATTTGTGATGACACTGATTATATATCTGATTTGGAACAAATTAACAGAAGCTATTTGTGCTGAAGCCGGCGGATTCTTCTGTCTAAAGCCGATCGTGTCCCTGCGCTGCAGCCAAGGTTAAATGCTCTGGCAGCCGGCACGCTCGGCAAAGTCTTGAGCCAGCCTTGAGCTGCATCCCAAGAGGTGGCTGGGAGAGGGGATCCCCCACCAGCAGCAAGGAGAGGCAGCAACCTGAGCGAGGGTGGGCAGGAGGGGGGCTGTGATGAGGGACAGCGGGCCCTGGGAGGGGAGGGCGGCCGGGCTGGCTGCCATTGCAGGGGCTGGAGCCGGCTGGGGTCATGGGGAAACTTCCTGCCTTTGATCGCTGCTGCTAATTAACTGCTGAGCATAAATGATGGGACAGGGTTGAGCACGGCACAAGGGTTACAAAACCATCTGGGTCAGGGAAGCTTCACAGAAAGGCTGTTTTTAGGCAAAGGAGCAGACTGGGGTGGAAAGCAAGACACTGTCCTTCCTTTTTCACCCTTTCTGGAGGAGACGGCAAAATCCAGCTAAATGTAAAAGCTGTGGGATACGCTATCCATGAGCTGTCCTAGATGAAAACTGTTGGTGCATGGAGCATTGCCTGGCAGAACCCATGGACGAGCTGACACGCCAATGGGAGAGGCAGCTGGGAGGGATGGTGGAGGCCGCAGGAGGGTTTGCAAAGCTGAGGAACGAGAGGGGGTTGCTAGAAGAGGTGAGGACAGGCAGACGTGCACTGAAGAAATGGGTTTGGGCAGCAGGCAAAGCAGCGAACCCAAAGCAGAGGTGGAGACCATTTGTAGGAGAGAAAACAGCAGAGAGGCTTCCTCCGCAAGAGGAGGTTCAGGGGACACGAGTCGCTGATGGGGTGGGAGCAAAGCACCCACTCTCCATCTGCGGGGTCTGCTGAGCACGTGGGGGAGGAGAACAAAGCCCTGAGCTTTGAAGTTACCTGGCTTTGAGCAACAGGTTGGACCAGGGACTTCCAGACGTCCTTTCCCACCCAAATTATTGGGTTATTCAGACTCTTTCTCGCTCTTTTCCTTCACAGGCGCAACTTGGTTGAGAGCGTTACCAAACAGTACCTGAAGAAATGCACCTACCACAAAGTCACCGATTCCTTATGCCCTGTCTTTGACCTGGGATACATAGTGAAGGAATCGGGTCAGAATTTTACCTTCCTGGCTGTTAAGGTACTTCAATTTCAAATGATGTTTTGTGCTGACATGTGGAGGGAGACACCAACAGAGCAATCATCCCCAAGCTGTTGAGACACAAGGGATCCATTTCCTCAAGGACTTGTGAGGCAGTGTCAGAATTAGCTCTTAAAGATTATGAATCTCCTTGGGCATGGCCTAATATTTAAGCCTTTCTTGGAAACTCCTCTGTAAGATTGACAAGATTTGACCCGCTGGCAATAAATCCAGGGTTCAGTTTGTTTTAATTTGTGCAACGAATGACTAGAGTTGTGTGGCCAAATCCCATCCGATTGAGCTCGGAAGCCTCGGCTGGATGGTCAAATACTGCTCATTGCACAATGCAAACTGCAGCCTCTCCCCAGGCTCAGAAATGCAGCTTTGTCCAACGCTTCTCAGGGTGGTATGCAAGAGTATCTGCTATTTCTGCACTACAGAGCCTTAAGCTAACTTTACCAGGCATTAAATAAAATCTGAGGCTTGCATATATTAAAGGTGCAAAAAGATGAGCCTCTGGGGCACAGCTAGTTACAGCCCGGACCAAGCTCAGGAGGGACTGCTTCATTTCCTAGCAGAAAACCTCTTAGAGGAGGTTTTCTTCTGATTTTCATGGGTTCATTTCACTCTCCTCTATGACCTTGTTAAATTGCCTTTGATTTTCCCTGTGACGTTAATAGTTTGATGGCAGGGTTAAGCCACAGGGCAGGCAAACCTTATGGGTAAAATCAGGCAACAAAAGGCTGTGCCACTAGGACCGTGGGGGATCTGCAGTGGACACTGTTTCTCAGGACCATGCCTTTTGCACGGGATGCTGACCAGGTACAAGAGGGCATGAATTTAGCTGTGTATCCAGCATTTAGGGCAGAAGCAAGCGCCTCTGCATAGGGTGATGCATAGGGCACGAAGCTGAGGCTGCTTAGCAGGGCTGAGACAGCAGTGGGAGTCCGTGTACCCTGGAGAGCCAGGGCACCTCGTAGCATCAAGAAAGGCCACATATGAGGAGAGAAGGAGCTTCTCCATGCAGGCTAGCTAGGTTGGGCCAAGCGGGGCAACCTTGTGACTCCTCTCTCGGCTGCAGGGTGGAGTGGTGGGCATCACCATAGACTGGAACTGTGACCTTGACTGGCCCGTCCGGTACTGCAAACCCATTTACCAGTTCCATGGCCTTTACAATGATGACAGTAACGTTTCACCGGGCTTCAACTTCAGGTAAGGAAACCCCTGTTAACTCTCCCGGCAGGATTCAGAGGTGACATCTTTCAGGATCCCACAGCACTCAAGGGATAGTTAAAGATCAGGGACTGTTCTCCAAAATACTCACTACCTTTGCAGTGTCAGACAGCAGTGCTCTCTTTAGAATGGCATGAGAAAAATGATAACCCATGTCTTGGCCTCAAAATTACCCCGTTGCCTTTCCCTGTACATCTCCTCGCCCTTGCAGACTCTCCTGCTCAGCTGGGCTCTTGGGAAACCCCTTGAAAGACTGGAGGTGGTGCAAGGTCATCTCATGTGTTCCCATGCTTCAAAGCGTTCAGCCACAGCATGACATTTAGGTGTGAGCTGCTGCTCTGGCTGCTGCTCTGTGTGAAGCTGCTACTAGTGCTGCACTAACATCCACTGTCACGTAGCACTTGGGGTCACCAAGTATCAGCACAAGCAGGAGCTTTAGCTCCAATGTGCAGGCAGGGAAACTGAGGCACAGAGGGGAGAGGTGTCAACAGCCCAGCTCCTTCGGGGGGATGAAGGAGAAGGTCGGGACTGGGTCCATGCTGGTGCATCCCCAGACCCCCATCCTGCTCCCGCCAAGATCCCGATGCCGTTGGGTTGCAGGGGGCTATTAGACACCCTGGAAAGCCATTAATGCTCACCATCCAATTGGGCAGATACGCCAAATACTACAAAGAAAATGGGACGGACAAGAGGACGCTCTACAAGGTGTTTGGGATCCGGTTTGACATTTTGGTGAATGGCAAGGTAAGGGTGGCCAGACACTGGGTTTACCCCCGGCTCTCCAGGATGGCAGTGCCATGTCCTCAGGCGGGTACCAGCTCCGTGACACAGCACCGGGGTCTCACGGGGCCAGGAAAACCAATGCGAGTGGTTTCCTTGGGTCAGTGGCTTTGTCCCAAAAAAACATCATGATGGCTGGGGGGGACTGTGGAAAGTCAAAACCTTTCACTAATATTTCCAAAAGCTGAACATCTGTGTTTTTCTGTTTTGTCTTTTTCATCCCACTGTGAAAGAAGGCTTTCCTCATTGTGTTCCCACTGGGAATATTTGAAGAGTATACTTTCTTTTTTTTTTTTTTTTAGTTAAAAATAAAGGACGCAAAGTAATTTCAGTTTGTGTCAGCCTAAAACCAACCTACCATATATTTCTGTTTGACCAATGAGCTTAAAATCAGCTCTTGCCCAGCTCCTGTTTCTCTCTGTGCTGTGGTTGTGGTTTGGGTTGCTGCAAGGCTCTTTAGCTGAGCCTGACCTATAGCTGTGGCACCGTTTTTTTTTGGTGGTGGTGGTGTTTGTTTTTTGGTTTTTTTTGTAACATATCACCTCTTTCCTCTGATTTTATTCAGGCAGGCAAATTTGACATCATCCCAACCATGACCACAATCGGCTCTGGAATTGGTATTTTTGGAGTGGTAAGTTCAGATATTTCCAGCCTCTATATGGAGACTCTCAAATTATTCTCCTTACCTGTGACATCCATGGGGAAGTGTCCCTGAGCAGCAGTGAAATACTGCTTCCCACTCAGGCAACAGGGGATGGGCAGAAGGAGGTGCTCTCCTGCCTCGCTAGCTCAGGAAAATAGATTCTTGCTGCCCGCTGGCTGACGTGAATTCTGCTAGCAGGAGCTGCTGCCCTGCCGAGTGAGGGGAAGCCGGCTTTCGTGGTGGGGCCGTGTCTTGGTACCTTGAGAGTTTCAAGTTAGAGGCGGTACTGGGGGGGGGGGTTGGAGGTGATAGGCAGCATTTCACGCACAACAGAAAACCAATATTAAAGTCATTAAAGACTTTGGCATGACCCAAAGTGTGTTGTGCTCTGCATATACCTAAAGTGGAAGCACTTAACTTCTGTTTACCTAAATTGCCCCGTACTGAACCCAGCACACTTCAATTCTGTCCTAAATGGACATTCAGGGGCTGTACGCTCTTCATCAGCTGCCACGTTGTGGGTTGAAGCAGAAGGGACCCTAATTTGTGGGGCAAACTGGAACAAGCTGGAAGAACAAGGTGGCACAGGTGAGCTGGGGGGGCAGCCCCAACCCTAACTGCACTTTGATTTAAGGCCTCTGTCCTCTGCGACCTGCTCCTGCTGCATTTTCTCCAAGGACGGGACTATTACAAGCAGAAGAAATTCAAATATGCGGAACAGGAGCCTGTAAGTAACAGCGAGTCCCTCCCCTGCAGTGGCTCCTGCAGGTGTGAGTGCGGATGCATGGGTAATGATGCTGTAACAGAAACAACATTTATACAATATATTGAGGAGCAAACAGGTGCCTTCCTGAGCTTGTGGGAATCCTGAGCCCTTGGGACTGTCAGAGGTTGGGATCTGTGAATCTCCTCTCCTAAATTATAGAGATCTTCTGTGTGACTCACTATTAATAGCTTTATTCCCTCCCTTTATCCCCAAACATTCCAGTATCTGTTAACACTTGCAATGCTTTAAGGGAAGCAGAGACAGACCAGTACTTTAGCAAACTGGAAAATATCCCCTTTTCTGCTTTCTGAGAACATCTCCATGGCCATGGGATGTTTCGTGGCCTTTCATAGGATGTGAAAACAGCTCTCCTCAAATTCATTTGAAATTGTGCTTATACATTGGGGGTTAGAAGTTGCTGTTCAACCACATTTTTCCCTGGCATTAGAAAGGGGCAGATCTGTAAAAGGATCATTGTTTTGTCTCATTTAACCCCCAGTCGAAGTCACATAAGAAGGGGAAGGAGCTGGACAACACGCAGTGAGAGGTGAGTGGTGTTTCCCCAGCCCTGCTGGCATACAGCTGGCAGGGGTGAGGGCTGTGGGTCTCGGGGCTATCCCAAGGGCCCCAGAAAGGCAGCAGGGCTCCAGGGAGGCATGGAGGAGATCTGAGGTGGGGGCTGTAATGTCTAAGCCGGGGTCAGCGTTTCCCAGGGTGTGCAGGCTCGCGGGGCAGCGCTGGCTGCAGGATGTGGGACTGGCATCACATCTCCGATGGCAACATTGCTTGAAGAGGGACAGCGGGGGGCAAGACACCAGAAATCACTGTGCACCTCTCTCTCTTGGCAGAATCCACACTGACTGACAAACCTGCACCCTCTTCCTCCTCCTTTCCTAAGACACAGTTGCCATCCCCCATCACCAGCCTGCACCAGCCCCAAGGCCAGCAGTGTCCGACACCGGCTCATGGGAATGTGTTGCCCTGCAGCCAGGGCAGAGTCTGGCCGGCCAGACACTCTGCCTCTGGTGGGACACACTGCGATGCTGCGGGTGGGTTAAACTCGTGTTGGGCATCAGGGAGCCACGAAGGCACTCTTGGGGTCTTCCACCAGCCCTTCTGCAGGGCACCGGGGTCTGCTGCCTCTGCAGGCCCTTCCGAAGGGCTCCCGCTGCACCCTGCCTGGTGTGCCGGGGCCGTGCCAGGGCGCCCCGCACCCTGAAGCCCCTGGGGAGAGCATCGCTGCCTCTCCTTCCCCAGCGGCACCCTTGCACAGCTCCAAAGTGAGGAGAGGGGGAGGGAAGGAGAGCTGGCAAGAACCATGCCCAGTCCCTCAGCACAGGAGAAAAAGGGTTATTTTGTAAGGATGTATTTTATTAAAAAAAATAAACCTTTAGTTTTTCTACTACATCCCTTTGCGGTGCCCATGCTTGCCCTGGGCCACGGGGTACGCAGTGCTTTTTGGCACTGGGGGATTTGTGCATGCAAAGCAATCCTGTAAATCGGACCGGAGCATGGGACCTCTGCGATGGGCTCAGTGCAGGCTCCCCTGGGCTCTGCCTTCCCGTGCAGGGCCCCTGGGCCTCCAGCCACGAGCAGGGCTTGTTATCAGATTTGTCACTTGGGTTTCCTCTTCAGACAGGCTGGCTGGCGGAGAGCACTGGCACGCTGCCGGCCATGAAGAACGGCTGCTCTGCGCCAGCTCTGCCTCCTGCTGCCCATACCGGTCAGTATTAGCTGGTCAGAATTGACCTCGGCGGTAGCCTCACAAACCAGCTCACCACCCAGGAACAAATCTTCCCCTCTCTGCTAGAAGATTTGCACTATTCGGCCCGTGCAGTTGGACATCATGAACTACACCCAAGCCCCACATCGCTATGAGCAGCCCCTGCCCTGTACTGCTGGCTCTGCTCGGTTCTGCAGGATGCATCAGCACAGACTTTATGCACAGTCTCTTTCTGAATGTCGTTTTGCACCCCCTGGAGGAAATTTTGCCTTGGTCACTTCAAAACTGGATCCCAGCTGCTGCAGGAAAGTCAGTAAAGAAGCTATAGGGATTGTTCTGCCTACGGCTGCAACACCGCTGGCTGCGGTGGGGAGCGTGAGCTAGCAGCCTGCAGGATGGACGCACCGCGCTGGGCTCGTAGGGACACAGAGGCAAGTGCCACAAACAGTTGCAGGTGATATTTGGTCATAAGCTCAACAAACATTTCAAGCCATACATTCCCCCTGACGACATTATTTGGTCTCAGAAGGATGCCTCAGCTTTCACAGGCAGGGTGGGGTTTTTTTAACATTATCTGTTTAGCTAACTTTTTCACCTTTTCTCATGATGCTGTCCGGTCTAGAGGGCCCAGGTGCTTATATTAAAGATGCAGAGGCGAGGGTGAGGGAAAGCTCCCTGGTCTTTGGAGGAGTCAGTGCCACCTTAGCGGGCGCTGAGGGCATGGGGCTGGTGCCCTCATAGAGGCGAAGCACTGCACAGTCGCTGTCTGGTGCAACCGCGCAGCTCTCCAGCAAGCTGCAACCAGCAGAGGGGACTGGAAGACTATTTCATGCAGACATGCCTGGGGAAAATTCAGTTGCCAAAGATTACAGGCAGTGAAGCGAGAGTGTTCAGGTAACCTTTTGCACCCACTTAAACCAGGTCAATCTCCAGTCATAACTTAAAATAACCAGTGCAAGGCTGCAGGTAGAGCAGGGGGTTGTTTCTGCCTGCTTAATCTTTCAAGCTGCTTGTAATGCAAAGCCCTTATTCTTTCCTAGGAAGTATTAAAAGGCAGAATAGGAAATTAGGAAAAATGCTAGTTGTAAATGAACCCCTGTAGTTGCTATTCAAAACCTCTGAGCTGGGATCCCTAAAAATCCCAAGACTGCTTTAAAAATCATGGGAGGGTTTATTTTCATCTCCTTGCTTGCTTTTTAAAATACACTGTCTGTGGGGATCCTTTTCTTTGCTTTTCATTCACCAACCATCTCTGCAATCAGCAGAATGAGATATTATCATTTTAATTCTTTCACCAAAACGAGCTCCTTCTCTAAGACGGGGCCCCCAGGGCCTGTGGCTTTCAGGTGGGTACCATGCGGAGCGATGGCTGTCTGGAGGAAACCGAGGAAGTGTCTAATTTACCATACGCTGGTCCCCTCTGCGGTATGAAAAGGCAGGGAAAGGCCACGGCGATTGTTTCGGTCCCTCCTTGTGCCAGGGAGGCCGGAGCTGGTACTCAGGGGTGGGAGAGCAAGGAGGAAGGGCTGCTCAGCTCCACGTGCTTCGGTGCAAATCCCAGTGGGGAAGTGCGGGTGAGCAGCAGGACTGTCCTCTCCGTCTGGTTTGACCTACTCTTGCTCTTAGGGTCAGGGCGGAATTTCCTGTGCTTGGCATCTGTTGTGGCCAGAAAGCGTCTGTATTTGAAGCTGTAAAAATGCGGCCAGTGTATCCTGCTGCTCTCTGACTTCTGAGCAGCGAGCCAAAGTGTCACAGAAACCCAAAGGGATTTGGTCATAGTGCAAAGATGCTTTCAATGACAGTTTGCTGTTTTGCTTGCTGTTTATGCTGTGACAATTGAGGGCTGGGTTTTGGTTTTTTAAACTCCGTGTTTAATTTCGTTTTGCTTTTTGCACAGTTATTTAACTAATAGAAAAGTACAATAGAAAAGGAACCTTCAGCAAATCAAACACTGCCTCCAGTCCTTTCAGCCAGAAAACACAAAAGAAAAAATATATCTTCTCCAGCTAATCCCTAATCATTACAAACAGCACTAACAAGCCGTCGTATGTGATGTACTGACAGTACAGTGCTCTAAGGGTCTAACAGAGGACTCCTGTCCGATCATCAGTGTCAGATGAAGGGAGCGAGCTGTAAGTGCAGTGTTACTATTCCCATTTTACAGAAACCATGACACAAGCAAACAATTTCTGAACGTGTATGCAAAAGTGGTGAGCAGATTCCACCTCTGAACAGTTATTATTATCTGTGAAGGTTACCAGGTTGGACCTAGTACAAATACATCTTTTCATCCTCTCAGGCGTGGTTAACTCTGAAAGAAATCAAGTGGCACAGATATTCCAGAAGAGCAATTGCAGAAAAACTTATTCTGCAATAATTATGCTGGTTAGTGATGCTGCAACCTCTGCAGAGCTGGCAACATTTAATCATTATGTTTGCGCACAGTTCCCAGCACAATGAGGCCCTGATTTCCACCTGGTGCTTCCAGACACTATAACGATGCAAATTAAAAATGAATAACATTAAAGAAAGAGGTAGCTCCTTCCCTGTGCAATCTATCCTATCTCTGAGCCCACTCATTCTTTCGCTGGCACAGCAGACTCCCTTTTATTTTTAACCCAGCCCTCCACGCAGGACATTCTTGGATTTTTCCCTAAAAAAGCACCTGCCTTTCTGGTTGCACTAATTCCCTTTCTCTTTGGATGTGGGAGCATGTTTTCAGTCAGATAAATCCCCTGACTGATGCACAGTGAAGGACTGACAGGAACATTTATGTCCTCCCAGCTCTAAAGGATGCTTTTATTTCCTTCTGTCCCACAGACATGCATTCTCTGGCCAGATTGTGCTGGGTGGCGACAGGACCCTCTCTGCCATTGCAGCCTCAGACATCTGCAGCTCAGCCTGCAGTCATACTCCCGGTGACAGTCCAGTTGTTACAGCTCATTTTCGCTCCTGCCAGCTCTGTATTAATTATGCCACGCTATTTTCTTTTGCTTGCTTTGGTGAAGTGCTCTCTCCTTCTGTTATCTATTTCTAATTGCTTTATTGCCTTATTTTAGAAAGCATAAAAGTCATGTGTTCAAATGGATTCTGAATATAGCAACAGCACAGAGAACCAATGGGCTTTTTCACAGGGGTGAATCAGGATCGTTCCAATTAACAGAGCTCTGCCTACCGGTACCAAGCACGGATCCTGCTCAGCTTTATGGCACCACAAAGAGATTTGGCCCAAGCTGTTCTTAAAAGAAATGATGGCTTCAACTCTTTTTTTACCTAAACATACTTGTGAAATGCCTGGGGAAGTGTAAAGTCTCCCTCTCGTGACTGTAACTCAAGGACAGGTTAAATAAACATCCTCCCAGTCCTTGCACCCAGAAAACACGTGGGAAATAAGTTACCAACCAACTACACCTAATCATTATTGAACAGAAATACCAAAGTCTTCTTTTAATGTTGTTATAGCCGTCATGGACAAAGCATCAGAGAGACATTATTTGGGACTCTATTTGCACTGGTCATTGCTGCTCTGCAGTGTAATCACCTGTGTATGATGAAAAGGGAAATTGAGGCACATGATTTGTTTTTGTTTTGTTTTCTGGAAGAAATAGCAGCTTGTGACTGAGACGAGCTAACCAGGTTATTTCATTAGGTCAAGTGCTAGCAGTCTTTGCCAGAGGCAATAGTTTCAAACCCTGATGCTGGTGCTAAAACTGTGCTTCAGACATCACTGGTGATTTAAACTTCTTGATGCTGAAGGAGATAGGTCTTTAGGGGACAATCCTCAGCACTTTCCAAACAGTCAGCATCTTCTAGACATCTCAAAGCCAAACGCAAATCAGCCCAAATGACTTCTGAAACCCTAGAAAATACTTCTCAGCAGTAGTTATGGCAAGAGGAGCCGGAGGCTGAAAGTTCTCCTCATTGCTCAGGAGAAGCTAAGTTGTCCTTGTATAAGCATGGCCCTGCTTGACTGAATTGAAAGCCCCTGTGAAACGGGTCCATGTTTTACTTTACACGTTATGGTCTTTCAGAGCATCTTTTGCGCCTTGGAGCCCCAGGAGCACAGTTTCTCCATGGGCACAGCCGCATTCCTGGGTCCTGGGCACTTACACCCGGGCATCCACGAAGGAGGTTGCTGGGGCTTTCACTGCTCAGGGCTGGGAGGAGGCTTTGCTTTTGCTCATGGGCATGTCTTGCTTTTCCTGAGAGGCCACCATGGCCAACAG